TATATATATATTAATGTATACATGTTAGGTGTTAATGGTTGTTTGTCTCGATGTGTGCCCTGCGACTGACGAGTGACCAGTTCAGGGTGTAGTACGCCTTTCACCAAAAGTCCTTTGGGATATATATTCGAAAATACTTTCTTGTTTTATATATATATGGTTGTATTTGATACATGATACATATTTGGTTTTTAATCGTGATTATTCGCTTGTTTTTTATTTTGTTTTGGGCAGTGCACTGAATGGGGGTGCTGTGGCTGCAGGGCGGGGGGCCACCAAAAGGTTGCACGGCTATTGTCCAGAGAAGAGTTCAATGAGCGAGACCGGGTAGACCGGGGGAGGTCGCGTTTGTGACAACGTGGTAGAAAGGCACTCGAAAAGGACCGATCCAATTTCGTTTATAATGAGTGAGATTGATTCGGGGTTTCGTTGAAAGGTGGCCAATTTCAAATAACCCAAGTGTCCAGTTCAGGTGGGTAGTCATGTCGAAAGTGAAAACCTCAATTGTCGCTCGAGTCACGCCTCATACCACCCACTCCCATCTGTGTAATTCATACGGCCATCACTTCTGGGGGCGTACCCCCTTAATGTACGTGATGGTACGGTCCAGAATAAATACAGCACGTTGGGGCGCAAAGTTAGTAGTTGAGCATCTTCTCGACGACAAATTTGTTCCAGGGCGAACAAATTGTCCTCCTGACGCTCAAATACACAAAGGGAAAGATGGCTAAAACTCTGCAAGAGCTAATTCAGAAGCTGCATGAGATCTTTAAGGATGACCGCGTCAATGTGGAGGAGGTGCAGGAACTCATGGAGTCATACAAGAGCAACCGTAAGGATTGGGAGAAATACGCCATATTCGACGCTCACAAGTAAGACGCTTCGTTTTATGTTCCATTAGGAATCGTTTCAGTTTAATAATTTGCACAGCACTGATGCAATTTTCACGTTTGCTCTGACGTCAGTGACTTTGTATTTTGTTCCAATTTGAAGAGATTTTGTAGAAGATACTCCTTTTTTCATAATGTTGATAGATGTACAAACGGTTGCGATAAAAAAGTTAAAACGTTTACGTTTGGCATGCATATTGGTGCAAATTAGCAAGTTCCGTATTTTAACCTGTGATCACATTAGAATTTTTATTGGTTCACATATAGAAAAAGTAATCCTTTTGGAATAACGTTTTGTTTTCAAACTAACAGTCAAATGTGTGGGACAGGCTGACGTGAAGATTTTTGTGTATATTATCATATGTGGATTGCTAAAAAAATAGATCTCCCCATGTCTTTTGTCACATCTCATTTGAATTATCTGTATATGTATAAAAAAAATCGTCAAGATAGTTGACGTCACATGTTTATCTGTCCGATACTGACCACCGTGACCTACAATATACAGTATTGCAATGGTGTTCCGCTGCCAGTATTGTGATGGCCAATGAAAGGGTGAGGAGGGAGCGATGGCTGTGCGGTTAACCAATAATCAGTGAGCAAAGGACGCACACCCTCTCTTACGCGCGCGCGCGCGTGTGCGTGTGCGTGTGTGTGTGTGTACGCGCGTGTGCAGAGGTTTCGGCTCCGGTGGCATGAAGATCACCAGGGAGCCACCGTAGCTGCCTCCAAAATATTTGACGACTGACGGAATGTGAGGAGAGGGCAGGGGGTGGTGGGCTCGCCTAACTGCTCCCCTTCATTAAGTCTGTAAAATACTTTAAGGGCATCACTATGACTTTCCTGTACGTACAGTGGAAATAAAAAGACACAAATTATTACATTACATAGGTACTTTTTAGTGTTCTTTTGGTGATGTGTTTGCTGCAAACATTTGGCCAAAAACAGCAGCCTTGGTTTCCTTGACCCTAATAATAGTTTTTGTCACTATTGGGATACATAGTTTATTTTTTTATTTCCCTTCTCAAAAAAAGTTGGGAAACACTGCTATAGAATGAGAATCCGATTGATGACACTCAACAATGCGCTATTTCAGTTTTGATGGTTGGCCATCACACATCTTTGATCGCCATTTTATTTGCAGATACACAAGAAACTTGGTGGATGAAGGCAACGGGAAGTTCAACCTGATCATTTTGTGTTGGGGAGAAGGTCATGGAAGGTGAGAAAATGTCAATATGGCAATAGCACACATTTTGTAAACCTTTCATAGCCTTTAAGCACTAACACTGCTGCGCGCCGACATGCGCTGTGATCACCTTGCAGTAGCATCCACGACCATTCCAACTCCCACTGCTTCATGAAAATGCTGCAGGGCGAGCTCAAGGAGACGCTCTTTGACTGGCCCAAGGGCGAAGACGAGATGACCGAGAAGTCGCACAGGATGCTGGAAAACAACTCAGTGGCTTACATAAATGGTAAGAGGAGAACCAGTTTTTGGGCAGGTGTCTGCAGTCTTCCATGGGGCGTTATGTTGTGTGAGGAAAAATAAAAACAAACATATTTTGCATGTTCTCTTCCTGGGATGAAAACTGTCTGACCTGCAGTTATGTGATCTGTCGCTTAAGCTCAAAGTTTGCCCACATGACTCACAGCAAATGGCTTTTCTCTATTAATCAAACATAAACTGTTCAAGGTAAGCGTGAAAAGACAAACTGCGTCAGCAATGACAGAGTTACACTGCTATTTTAACTCCTATGATATCTGTGTGAAGCAGGCAATAGTACATCGGTGAATGCCACACTCTTCTTAAAAAGCAAACAAAACTGTGGTTAGCATGTGTGTCACAGTTATGAGGTTCAGGGTTCAAGTCTCCAGTTTGCACGTTTTGCTACATGCAACCCGAATGAGGATAAGTGGCATGCTGTAGAAAATGAATGGATGGATGCTACCTCTGTTCAAAAGTGTGTGATGTTCCACAAGGATCTATCGTGGAGCCATTTGTTATTCCATGTTGGCAATGCAGATTTTATTGGCCCAATGGTTTTAGTAACTTAATAAAAATGTTGTTAGTGTAATATAATTAAATCTTCATTTCATTATATGTGCCCTGAGATCAGCAGACGACCTGTGCTAAATGTCACCTCTCACTCAAAGTCAGCTGGGATAAGCACCAGTTCTCCTGCAACCCTAATGAGGCCAGCACTCCACAAAATAGATGGATGCCCATATTTTGCGATAATATAATTTAATTTTCATTTCATTATATGTGCCCTGAAATCAGCAGACGACCTGTGCTAAATGTCACTTCTCACTCAAAGTCAGCTGGGATAGGCACCAGTTCTCCCGCAACCCGAATGAGGACAAGCACTCCACAAAATAGATGGATGCCCATATTTTGCAATAAGAAACAATGTCCGCTGAATATTTTTCCTCCCATTTGATGACCCACAGAGGACTTTGTATAAGCTGCCATGATAGGAAAAAAGTTCAGCCACCGGTGATCTACTTGTGCTTTCCAACATCGGCAGAAAATGTGTGCCGTGAACCACATTTCACAACATTCCATTGGCATTCACTGACTGCACAATACCCCTGTGTTTGTATGTGCGTGTTTTTCAGACTCCATCGGCTTGCACCGTGTAGAAAATGTGAGCCACACTGAGGGTTCAATTAGTTTGCACCTGTACAGCCCACCCTTCCAGACGTGTCAAGTCTTTGACCAGCGCACCAGCCACAAGAGCGTCGCGAAGATGACCTTTTGGAGCAAATATGGCGAGAGGACTCCATGTGTAAGAAACTTTGTGTCATTATGCCAAAATGCTAATCCACTGATCGTAGCATAACAGCAGTTGTACTAGGCAGGGAATCAGCTTTGGTCACTTGTGGTGGTGGTTCTAAATTGACCCGGCAGAGCTTGCGTGATTTCTCCCAATTGCTATTATTATTTATTTTATAAGCAAAGTAAATATATTGATAATGATCAAACAAATACCTATGAAATATAATTAGCATTTACGACACCTACAATTACATTAAAAAAAATTACGATGACGTGAAACAACTTTTTTTTTTGTGCATATTCTTGAAATTAATAGTTGGTTTTTGAAATAATGGGCGCCATGTGGTTTTTGCAACACTCAAAATAAAATTAAAGTTGCGTCTTTTTTCAACTGGATCTCATAATAAACATTTTGAACTACTCGACGTGTGTTGGCCCATCCCAGGCAAACTGCATTTTTTTTATGTTACTGTTTAATTGTTCTGAAAACTCCTAATTTGAGTAAAACAGAAAGAAACAGGAATGAGTTTTCATCATAGAATTAGCAAATGTAGCCATATGGCATTTATGCTAATAGCATGTTGACACTACTGTGATTAAAAAAAAAAAAAGAAGTTATTTCCTGAGGATGCGAACAGTTCAGATTCGATGGGATAACCAACACGCTGTTAAAGTATACCTTGAGCAGAACAATGTCGAGTACATTCCTTTGTGACACGAAATAGACAGGATGATAAGATAGCGGCAGTACAAGGGAGTTAGTACACAATAAACTAGGCCACACCCTCCGCATTCAAAAGTGACTTTCTTAAGCTAAAGTGTTGTAAAAATATATTAAAGAAAAATACAGAAAAGAATACTGTTTGGAATTATCCAGTGTTATAAAAAATATCATTTAAAAATGTGATTATTATTCGATGTCTATTATACAGAAGCCTAACTGCTGTTCCTCTTTTTGTATTGCAGGAGACCAGTGCATCAAAGGAGAACAACTAATGTGTTTCCAAACGACGACTCTGGATTCCCCCCCCCCTACCATTTTTTTATCTACTGCGACCACGCGGTTTGTTTGAAATTTAGATGCAGGCTGGTTCAAAATGACCAGTACGGCTTTATCACTCATTGCTTGGCAAATACTGATGAGTAGAACATGATTGAATGCATAAAAAGGCTTCTGGCAATTGATTTTGAAATGATACGCCCCAAAATGGATGGATGTCTAGCATATTTCTGTCACAGTTGAGCACTTTTCTATCTGGAATGCTCGCAGTTATCTGCTGAAAATTGCATGAAGTTGAGTCTTTCGTCCACGGCCTGATGAAGGCAAAAGTTCCATTAGATTTTTTTGTGGGTGGATAAAATGAAATGTTTGTCTTAAGACCAACTGTTAAACAGTTCCAGTGATTATAATTAGTGGACTGTACTTGTGTGTTGCTCAAATTAGGCATCTTCTCAGGATTTTGCATTTTATATTTGTAGCTTGCGAATTCATATTGTGTAGTCATTTCTGTAGCACTGATATCTGTGATGCAATAAATATCAGCTGTAACAAAAAACATTTTGTCTTTTGTTTATTATAATTGTTATTTACTGGGGGACGATTTTCAAAGGTAAAACACGACTTACTGGTAAGGCAGGGTACACCATGGAGAGGTGGCCAGCCAATCGCAGGACACAGATACATACATCCATTGGCGCTCATTTTCTTCAATGAATCCAACATGCATTTTTGGGGGAATCCAGGAAATAATTGGCACACCCACAGAAAACCACTGCAAGAACGGGACATACAGACTAACTCCACACAATAGGCCCCGGGAAAGGATTCAAAACCAGATCATCAAAACTGAGGCACATATGCCAGGCAAGATCACCAGGCAACTGTGCTGCCTCGACTATGTTTTTTCACAAAGAATAAAGTCTGTGCAAAAGCACATACTAGTGTTTAATACTTCATTACGGTGTGCCACAAGGATCTGTCCTGGGGGGATTAGTTATTCTATGTTGGCAGTGCTAATTCAACTGGCCCCACGGTTTTATAATTATATTTTTTAATATATATTGTATAGAATTTGTACGTATATGTGAAGGTTCACTAGCGACCAATCCAGCCCTGAATTCAGCTAACCCTAATGAGGACACACGATATAGAAAATGGAGGGGTGGCTGGATAAACAGCAGCACCGATGAGCATGTGTGAGTTCTTGGGGGCTTGAATCTTAGTTCTGGCCTTTCAGTGTGGGGTCTGTATGTACTCCCCAAGCTTGTATGGTCAGGGGGGGGTCAACCTGTCTTTCCCGAAAAATTTCAAAAACATGCACGTTAGATTCATTCAAGACCAAGTTGTCCATAGATGTGAATGTGAGTGTGATGGAGTCTGTTAATACTCAATTGATAGAAGTAAAAATTAACAGTAGCTGGGTAATTGAAAGATAAGCTATATCTGTCTGGCACAATGTGGAGAATTATGACTTAATAGTTTCACTGAAAAAAAGATGTCGGTGTGTCAAATTATCATTTACGAAGTTAGTTTGAGAAGAGACGACAAGGAGCAGAAAGCTTGACATGATTTTTCTTGCTACAGGATGCATTTTTTTCCCTCAGAGCTGTATTACTTTTTTTCTTGGACTAGGTAGTGATTATTTTATAAATTTCCTCCCATCTACGTCCTCCCCGTGCCTGTGTGGGTTTTCTCCAGATACTTCGGTTTCCTCCCACATTCCAAAAACACGCTTGGCAGGTTCATGGAACACTCGAAATTGTCCCGAGGTGTGAATGTGAGCGCGAATGGTTGTTCGTCTGTGTGTCCTGCGATTGGCTGGCAACCAGTTCAGGGTGTCCCCCGCCTACTGCCCGAAGACAGCTGGGATAGGCTCCAGTACCCCCCGCGACCCTTGTGAGGATAGAATGGATGGGAAAATGGATGGATGTTATTTGTTTCTCATCACAATCCAAATTTATGACTTTATTCTTTTGAGTAATATATATATATATATATATATATATAAAACATAACTTTTTCCCATAACACTACGCAATTTTTCTCATAATTTTTTTCCCCACTTCATAGCAAGACCTCTTTATTCTCCTCGCTTTGAGATTTCATTTGTCATAATTTTACTTTTGCTTCATTTCAGTGCTATAATAATCCTAAAATTGTCTATGGATTGACAAATATTAATAATTGTTGGATCAGCAGAAGTTACATTTTCTCAAAGAACCTAAACAACTGTGCAGTATATGGAGAAGGAATTCAAAGACAGCTATGTCTTCACAAGCTCACAACACGTGCATTGAACGGTAGCAGTACGTACAAACTCATAGGTCAATGGTGGGGACACAGCCATGAAAAAGGGACCTTATGGTCATCTCGTTTCATCACCGATTGCTCAATGTACATAGCGTGACTGTAGGGGTATTTGTGAAATGAATCTCAGGGGAACCATGAGATGGCCGGCAGCCAGTATGGTATTACAGAAGGTCAAAGTATCTCAGGGGAACCATGAGATGGCCGGCAGCCAGTACGGTGTTACAGAAGGTCAAAGTAACAGCATTCATTTTTAACATTGCTTTTTTTTTTTTTTTGATACCATGTGACGCACTGGACAGAGGCTCATCAAACAGAAATGTCTTATCATTAGACAACGATAAGAACTTCCTGCAATTTTTTTTTTTTTTTAATGACATAATGTTGTTAGTGCGGTTCATCCAATCATTGGTTTGGAGCAGGGATTTATCTCCCCAGTACTCTGTAGCATACAATAAATGTTGCTGCCAAACTATAAAAACAGACAATAAAAGTACGTAACGATTTAGTTCAGATAAAGACGGGATGCAATACATTTTAAACAACTTGATGTTGTTGTCCTGGTGCTGCATGTAGTACGTGACAAATAAAACTCACAAAAGAAATAGGGTGGTAATCCTGCTCAAAACCAGAAATGATGATACTGATTTGTACTCATTTAAGGATGGCGTTGCGCAAAGATCTGTCCTGGAGCCACCAGGTATTTTATTTCAACAAACCAGATAGCCCACTGATTCCAACTAAAAATTATCTTGAAAATGCAACAAATTCTACTTTCACAGAGTTTGATTGCACCATTGTCACCTAATTCCTGTTGCAGTTGCATATATGCTTATATCTATATTTTATATTGCATTCTGTACTGTGTACAGTTCTTTTTCTGAAACATTATTTTGTGCATGCAGTTTTTTCTTTTCTACCCCTCCCCCCTTCAATTTTGCTGCTATAGATTGCAAATTTCACCATTGTGGGACAAATAAAGGTTTTCTTCTTCTTCTTCTTAATGGTTAAAATCCAAAACCTAAGAACTGTGAGACATGTCCGAACCACTTATACACTATGCTCCACAAAGACCAATTTCAATTTGTTGTGATCTGATGTCTGCAGCAACATTTTTCAACAATCCTAAATATCATAAAAATATCTAAAATACGTTGTCACCCATAACTTTGAAGAGCATCAAGAGAGACGAAGCACATCAACTATACAAGAAGCTTACGTGCCACTTTTCTTCTTTTATGCAAAACATCACTGCTTATTGTGAAGTTTGCTGCATTAGCCTGAGCAGCCATTTTGTCGTCACTGGCATCTTTCTGTGGTGGTACACACAAAGAAACCAAAAAACACCAAATACACTTATGGAGGTGGATCCTCACAAATATAACAAAATATGAGAAAACTGAAATTTTGGTTGAACTCAAAAATCGTGTTTCCATGTTTTTTGTTTTGCTTTGTTTTGTAAATGTGGAATTTGTCAAAAAGCTTTCAAACACTGAAAAGAAAAATAAAACTTCATTTGCTTTTTATTGTTTGCAGCTGCACAACTTCACTGAGTGACTAAAAACAAACACTGTTGTCCATGATGTAGATACACAATACAGTATATCCTTTTGGTCCAGATATATTTTTTTCTAAATGTGCAAGGTCTCAGGCACATTTCATTTCAGTCTTTGTTTCGTTTGCCCCCCCGGCTCTTTACAGACTGTTCTCACTGCATAATGCCACAAGGTATCAGCTGAGGTCATACAGCAGGCGTACAGTTTTCTGACGGAGACTGAAAGTGCAAAGGAGTCTGGCACTGTACTCACTCATGATAATGCTGAGTTTGACTCGTCTTCATACACTCAAACAAGTACAGCATGTTTGATAATCAAAGTGGTTGCTCTGTATTGATAGTGACTGGAATATCACGCGACCCTGTGACTAAGCATCGAAAATATGAATGCAACACTTGGTTTTGCCGCCATTTTTGCCAACATTCTTTCCAAATCGGCCTTACTGTGTGCTAGTGAGCGCCTCTAAGAACCTCATGATGCTCGAAAATATGAATGCAACACTTGGTTTTTCCGCCATTTTTAATGGATTGAACTCAAAGATGTTTCTTTTTCCTATGTTACAAGAGGCCCATTTCTCTCCCAACATTCTTTCCAAATCGGTCTTATTGTGTGCTAGTGAGCGCCTCTAAGAACCTCATGATGAGTTAATCTATTATTACTGGCAAATGCAGAACGGTGACAGTAAAAATATGCTGTTCAAGAAACGTAGCGATAGCAAAATGTAAAATAACACATTTTGGCACAAAACAACAAATGATGCTCAGGGAAAGTGATTTCAGTTCTTAAAAGCTCTGATGCTCATTTGTGTGCATTTGAGATCAACAATTGATGAAAAGGTCAAACCTGGACTGACGCCCTGAGAAATGTGCCGCAATTGTCAAGGCTTGTCCAATTAAAAATATAGAATTGTAATCCCGTCAAATAAATATGAAAATGAGCTGCTTAGGAGTTTGTCGTGTTACAAATATTCAGCATCCGAGTCTCCTTGCGCACCCACGAAAGATCTGATCTCCTCCAGAATGTCAGGACTTGTCTTCCGCTCTGACCCTTCTGACCCAGACGTTTGTATGACCGCCAGCCTCTGAGATCCTGCTGACTGTGCCTTGTTACTCACAATGTCTCTCATGATTTCGCCTGCGCTGCGTCTGCCACGGGTGCTGCGGCTGTGGGATGAATTGCTGTGATTGGAACTGATGCCGTTACTATGATGGGAAGCACCCAGGATGCCAACCATCGGGCGACTTCTTGGAATCTGATAACTTTCACGGCGGGACGTCTGGCCAGCAAAGCTGTGCTCTGAATCCGAGTCGTACTGGGTTTTGGGTTGAGAGAACTGATCTGGCTCTTGTTCTCTCATGACATTTAAGTCCACTTGTTCTCCAGCAGCCCGTTGGACGTTTACGTTGAACAGCCCGTCTCGATGCACAGGCTTTCTGGAGGAGGGCAGTGATTTTGGAGTGCTGATGTCAGCTACCTCATCAGGGTGAGCATTGGCGGCCTAAAAAGAAAGTGGAGGATTTATTTTGATTGATTTTCATTTGCAATGCCGACTTGGCAGTGGACATCTCGGGCAAAAAAACTTGGCAAATACACTTAGGCTGGATTTACTTTATACTGTAAGCCTAAATTCCCCGTGGAAAAACTCACATACTCCCATTATTTGTACTCCTTTTTATCCGGCTCCAAAATGCCACA